CATTTGGGTCGACTATTTGTACATTGAGAATAAACTTTGGTACCTAAACTGGAGTTTGGTTCTATTTTTAATTTGGGTTCGTAATCTGCAAATAGATCGATATACCGTACTTTAATAACGGGAACGAGCAAAACTTGAACGTGACATAGAACGCTTTTACTGACAATTAAAGCACCTATCTGAGCTGCGAAAGTTTCACAGTGGGCTGACTCTCTTTAAATCTGGTTGTTTGATGTTCGCATTGCAGTGAAAGTTGACGTTGGATACACTGCATCTCAACTCGTTTAAGAAATGACACGCCGACTTTCACGAGGAATCATGGATTCTTCATCCTCTTCAATGAATATGTATCTGAACTCCTACACGAACAGGCTTAAGAACCGTCATACATTCCGTTAAACCTGTTTCCATTCACCGCAATCAAAACATGTTTTGTTTCAACCTGCTGTACGATATGGTACACACGTCTTAGCAAGTCAAGACTCACACGGACGACCTTTCGAATCAGAATACGAAGGACACTTCAGAGTTCTTCAGCGTGAATCTAAATACTTCATAACTGATATGAACGGAATTAACGATAACATCAGTATCGATCGTCCCAAAGCCGCGTATTTGAAAAGAAACACTAATCATGAAGACACGAGTCTCACGATTACGATATCTCACTCGATGATCAAAAATTCCTATGATACTACGGTCGCATCTGACAATCAACTCAAAACAACGCGTACAGGAATAAAAGTAAGGTTTCCAGAAAATCTGAACGATTACCGCTCGCAAGATACTGTAGAATTATAGTCTACTTCGTTGCTTTTACTGCTCTAATAATAGACTCAATCCTAAGATTGTAGATTAGTCATGATGTAACTGCCTAATTTATAAAATCTCACGTGGAATTCACATTATTGTCTATATTTACCCATCGTGTCGTATTAATTGCCAATATATGATGAAGAACACATAAATGTTGAAGATAGAGCAATATATTTAATATGAATAAAAGTTACACAAGAATGCTCACGCCTGCAACGCAGAGTCACTCCATTCCGTAAATTCAAATTAATAGAATTCTCCCTCCCGCCTCCTCCATCTTTGGGTTTTTCTCTGCGTTAAGCGCTGAATATCTATTTTCCCAGTTGTCTCGTGTTCAACCTTGAGAACTGCGTAGTTAGTGCCCAATGCCTCTACGACGCTACATAACAGCTTGCTTCGTCTCGAATTTTTTTGTGTTAAAAAACAGAAACAAAATTTTTAGATGCTCACATATAATTGTTTTTTGTTCCAAAGAAACAAATCTTTTTGTTGCTAATATGTTTGTGTATGTGTAAAATTTTATTTCCCACCTAGAAAACCAGAAAAAATATCTTGCGAAAATCGTTTAATCGCTTTTGAATGTTTGTGAGACGCGTAAATATGAGTTTATTTCACTTTTTGTCAAGTCTCGTGTCTTTACGAACGTACGAGTGTAATTCGACATGCACTTACACATACTTTTTTCCAGGAGAGATGGAAAGTATGAAAAATCGACTAAGGTTACAGCGAATTAAAATGTTCATTGTACCTGTTTTTCATTACTATATTGTACGATATAGGCATTTATAGTAAGGGTAGACCATAAGGTGCTGCTATACATAGAAAGTTATCAGAAGTATGTTTGCCAACGACAAACATGTTGGAAGCTACGTCATGAGTCCAAACTAAATCACGCGTGTGTACACCGTGCTACACACCCCACACAATCGCTAGCCAGCTTAGAATATTCACCTCTCGATATATCGATAGTCTTCCAAATATATCTTCTAACTCCTTTAATCCTGACTTCTCACTTGACTGATTTAGAAGGCTTTGACTGTACAGGTATTGCTAACCAAAGTTATTCTAACGCCGAATGCTTGTGATATCATACAATAAAAGACATAGTTATTAGTTTTCTTAACAATACTCACTATAAACCGTCTTCTTTATTCGAACCCTGACTTCCATTTTTTTCATTTGAGATTATCCCACCTTTTTAAATATCACAACTCATTGTTCTATATTAGTGCATTCTCTAATCTGAAGCCTCTGATCATATTTCACTCTAGCTACAAGGGATCTTATCTAATAGTTTATCATATCTCTGTTCCACTGTAAAATGTTAAGGATTGTTTATCATTCATATCCAAGTGCCTTGCCGCTCCTCGACTTTTTTTTAGGAATCTTGCTCTGAGTACACAGCTATGTAAAGTCTGGCATCTGGAACAATTTAGACGTAGGTTTTTTCCGAAAATCATAGTTCACACCAAGCGCCCTACAAGTCTACTTTACAAAAACTATAAACTTAGAAAATCGAACTGCATAACTACTTGACACGACCAAAATCTTAACACAATTATGCCGTGACTGGATCTTCTGTGTAATGGGGACGTGATGCCACTTTGAAAAATATTTTGAAGATTACTCAGTATATCTGAAGGAATGAACTGATATTCACTTCTATAGAATATATTTATTTAACATCCATACTGTGAAACAATAAAAGTTGTTATTTCTATATCGTGCCTGTAAAATGGCGTGTAGAAATATATTTTATTGTTATGCTAAAAATAGTACAAATAAAAACAATTTTTGTGAAAAACAGTGAACTAGAAAAAAATGCTAGCCGTTATGTGTAATAAACTATCTGAATTATGAAAGCCAAATCAATGAGTAAGAACATAACTGTCTTTTGGGACTGCGCAGGTTTATCAGACACAAAGAAAACGAGGAAAATGTGGTTAATGAAAGATCGATTGCTACACTCACCAGTTTTGGGGCGCAGGCTTGACCTTGAAGTAGTACAATAAACGACCAAATGTAGGATAGACATGATAAAACTCAAGATATACCAGCGGTATTAACCAGCCTGAGCTATTCGATAAACGGTAAAAATAAAATAAATTTAAACCCGTTCATTCCTTTGAAAACTTGGATGCTGTAATACGAAGACAAGGACAGTCATAATCATATGATGTATTAGCGTATTGCATTTTGAACAATCTGACCAAATATATATATATTATGAACGTTTATCTACAAAAACAAAAGATCAATCGCAAAAATATGGAGTAATAGAAGACAACGTTAATAAGGAAACTAACGTGAAAAAGAATGTGAAACTCAATTCTTTGTGTCACAAACTAGTATTACTACTACTTGGTTGTGGTCCGCGTAACTCTCGTAACTGATGGTTGGTGACTCTTGGTGACATGGCTCAGAATCGATCACAATGGCGTCGGTGTATACATACTCTGTCTTCCCTTAAACTAAGAGATTAAAATGAATTCATATCTTTCTTTCTACCAACTAATTCTTTCTTCCTTTACTACTATATGTTTATTGCAATCTTTCTTTTATATATTACCACTTCTGAATTAACTACTTTTATGAATCCGGTGTCCATCTTGTTGTGTTAATGAGGCATGGCATTTTGGAACGATGCATATATGTGTCTGGCTCTACGTTGAAGCTGACTGACTGAAACTAGTATTACCAGAGTAGGTCTATGGTTAGAACAAACAGTTTGTATTAACGTCCTGGAATTAATTAGTTTCCCAGTTTAGAATGATAGGATGCCTGAAGTGCTTAATATATTATGGCATAACAAGGTATGTCTTGAATGGTGTCTCATAGTTATTTACGCAAACTTCGTTCATCCGGTTAGATTAAAAGCCGAAAAGCTCTATTATGAAGCTTTTAAACTCCAACTTTTGTACAAAAGCTGGTTTCATTTGATGACAAAAATGCAGACTGAATTTCTTAGCCTAAAGTTTTGACCATAAAGTCTGTCAATTTTTTCTCTGGTGTCGGAAACGTATATATGAAAGGTTATTTGTATAGTTTAACGCTATTTATTTAGTGAATATTAGTTGCTTTTCAGCCATTAAGATTTCGTTCACAAACACAGTGTAAAAAATGTATGTTCTGAAAATTACCTCGGAGGTTTTATAGTACAATCTCGTTATTTGTTTATTATTAGTCTAGTTATTGTTCTTTGCATAGTAATTTAAATTTCACTCGTGATTTGCGTAGCCACATTTATATTCTTTAATCTTCTTTGTCTGGGCTCTTGTTTTTCGACTTCGGTTGATATCTACATTTATGATTACGTCTTGTTGTTGCATGATGACGAGTCATCCACAATAGGGACGCATATGAGAAACTCACGGTCACGGCGTGCTTCCTTCGATAATTATTGATTTTCAACTGCTTACAGGTTTTCTCGCACGATCTGATCGCTTATTAAACACAAGTTTAGTTCTACACGTACTTACATTTTTATTTCTTTCTATTAAAGGACGGCTGAAAAATATGAAAAACCGAAGAATACGATTAATCGAAAGTTTAAGTGTACTCATTGTCACAACATCGTAGATTGAGTTCAAAATCCTGACTGTTTGCGTCTTACGGACAGTAGTACCTTACTAAACGGGGAGGTCCATTGCGGATAATGAATACTCGAAATAAATAATTCTGTATTTATCGACTTCGTTGCCGGTCTTATGAATCTTGCTACAGAACTGTGGTTGCAGGCACTCGTTCAAAAATCCTTATTAGGTCTAAATTAGTTACACCGTGCTTCACATTCCTCGCATTTACTAGTCAGCTCAGATCATATAGCTCTTGGCATATTGACTATCTTCCAAATACATCATCGAACCACTTCATTCTCGCATCCTGGTCTGACTAACTTCGGTGTCCTCGATCATAACATACAAAATTGAGAGTAAATTTTTCAGATACTAAATATCTGTGACATATTAAGCGTTACGAGAGTGCTTATGATCGTCTCTCATTCGCCGAAAGTTGTAGTAGCAGTGAGGTCAGATGCCTTGTTGAATTTTTGGCGAAAGTTTTCTTCACTGGTACCAGAGGGAAGCAAATACTACTAAACTGGCCCGAAAGTGCATCTGCAGCCAAATAAAAGTCATTGTCAGCGAAAGAATCCTTCTTGTTTTAATATCTTTTCAATATCCGAACTGCGATTTCGACATTCGGTAAAATTGGTTAGAACACAGTGAACACACTGAAGTATATATTGTACTTACAGACGCTTTAACGTTGTTTTAAAGTTATTTATGTACAAAAATAATCGTTTATTCAGATTGTACAAGAAAAGATTCAAAGTTTTTTTAGGTGACCTGCAATATATGAGTCACCGCTAAACTCGAGTTATAGCGTCACTGTTACTTGGCAGCGCTTCAGGGGTATCGCGACACTTTTTTGCGCTACTTCTTCATTTCTGCTTTGTGCACAACCAAATTTTGAAATACATTATGAATAAATTTGAAAATCTATTTTCCGTTTTCATAATTAGGTAAAAAGGTGTTTTTCCATTTTGCGTTACATGGTATCGCGAAGTCCTTGAAAATTCATTATTCAGGTGCTGCTATAATAGTTTTTCGGTGTTTGCATCGCAGATTAGCAATTGTTTCTAGTTAGGTATACACTGATGGTTGGCAAATCTTTTATTTTTATATGAAATAGCAAGATTCAGGCATATATCGTCATAAAAATTGTATTGTCGTCAAGGCTACCACAACTGCGTTACAACTAACGATACCATGTTAAGATTTATCGTTTTTCCCATCTTTATCACAATTTCTGCTGATTTTCACTGTTTTGTTCGACTTTTATGGCAGAACTAGCTTCATAGTGAAAACATTAAGTGTCCCGAGTGTTGTAAATATTATGTATATGCTATAGATGATAATAACACATACCAAGATGTTAATATTGCCTCCTACAGTTAGATATATTAGCCACCAGATGATTGTATCGCAGGAAATAAATCATAATCATGCGGTAGAGGTATAATTATGTGGAGGTTTTACCAGAGACCAAGCTAAGATAGCATTACTACCTCTTGTGTAGATGTACACATGTATTTGGCTGTATCAAAGCATGTCATTGAGATATGGTTGTAACTTTTTTCTTGTTTTTAAATTCAGAATTCACGGGACGACTACCTTAATTCTCAATAGCCGTGCAATTGTTTTGATGTTATACTTACATTTCAATAAATATTATTTTTCAAACAGCTTACTTTTTTACTTACATGGGAAGCTGTTGAAGTGTTGAGAATGTGTGTTTGAGTGTCAGTGAACTTTTGAATAAATGCACATTCCTTATAAATAATACATCACGTGTTTCTTCTTTTGCAGATAGTTTCACATAACAATGTATTAGCAATTGCATTGGATATGCAAAACAATTGGTGCTTAAGCTTCTGCTCTAGTGTTGTACAATAATACGCTTTACCTTTTAAATAAAAATTTTCAAAAATATGCCGGTTTCCCACTGTATTGCAGATTTATTTTGGTCTGTTGTTGAAAATAAAGGCGAACATAGGAGACGTTTGGGGTTATGTCAATGGATGGAAAACAGGGAGTTCTGTGTGCATTTAGACGAAAAGTAAACAATTCAGTGGACATTTAGGTGAGAATTCGGTAATTTGGCAGATATTTATGCGAAAAGTGAGTAATTTATCGACAAAACGGCGAAAAAAGGGGAAATCCACATTATTTCCCACGGACAGGCGAAAAAAGCGACATTGTGATGCGTTTTCCCCTTTTGCTACCAGAGTATTTACCACTTTATTTTCCCTTTTTGGGTTGTCTGGGGAGCTTCAATATCTTGGCTGCCGGTATTATTGCACAAATACCTAATATCAGAAATAAGTACTGATATAAAGCTGTTACGAGAAAGCACTGAAAAGTACGATTCGATAGTCAAGATATCTTGATCTAAGGTGACCAGATTGTGTGAGATCCTATGTGATGATCTTCAGAAATCAACCAAGGCCTGTCTAGCTTACGTGCTGATGCCGTTAATGACAATTACTCATAACTTACGTGGGACTACAATAGAATATGCATCAATAATTGCAGGTTACATAGGACGATTCAAAGTAAATTCACACAGTATTCTTTACATATGTTCATCGTCTAAGTTTCCGAAGTGCAACCTGTCTAAAGAATTGAATAATACAATCCGTGTATGTTGTGACCCAGACGTTCCTAAGCAACGCAAGAGATAAAGGAAATAAGCGTGATTGACTATCCAAAGGAAGAATGTGCTAAATGCACTTTCGATCTGTAATTGAATACTGGTTTCCGTTTTTATACTAGTTTCTGATAAACATTTATACTGAAATAACTTTCCTGTCTATCTTATTTCCAGCTAGCTTCGCAAGCGTTCAAAAACCTAACGGGAACAAATCCTGAGAAATAGAATTTATTTATTGATGGATCATTTGTGCTAGATTCAAACTTTAATAAACGTTTTCATTTATAACGCACCAGTCTTTTAATCACGGCAATTCTTATCCATCGTGACAGGTCAAAATTCGAACTACATGTTCAAGGTAGCAGTATTTGGTAGACGGTATGTATGACTAATCGCGTGTGCGCCAAACTGGTAATTATTACACAAGAACGCGAAACAACATCCCTGTCTCACAGCCACATAAGACTGAACAGTACACTCCCTGCCGTTACGCTATAAGAATAAATCAATGGCCATATAAATGAATTTATGTAAAAGTAAAATGATTACAATATTAGAACTTCTTGTTATCAAGAAGCATAGCTATGGTCTGTATTAACAATGGATTCTGATGTTGTAGCTTCATCATTAGCACCGATTGAACTCATCACTTGTGCGCATGTGTTCCGATGCTTCGAGGCATGAACGGATGAGTTTACTTGCCAAAGGTTCACTAAGAGCATGGACTGAGTGGTAGTTGTTAGTGAACTTCTCTAGCAGATCAACACTCCCTGTAGAGAATGACATGTTGTCCAGCGCACGAAGAACCAAGTCCATTATGTATTTCCATTTCCACCGGCTGCTATGTCGAAATAAGTCTACAAAGCTTATAGAGATAAGGGAACACACTCTTACCTCCACGAATTAGATCTTTGGAATGTGCATACAGAACATGACCACAGGGCAGCATGTTGTCACTGAAACGCTCACAAGCACATCATGCATGTGAAGTATCAATGACATACATCATACACTTGTTGTAGCACCGTATGTATTCTCCTTCTATAAATCCGTGTCTCATTGTCCTAAAACGTTTATAATTTACAGATACAATTTTAGCTGCAGAAGATGTGAACTCACTCATAGGAATTCAAAATGACATTGGAACCTGGAATTCATGATACATTTAACTATATTTCTTACCTAAAGAAATGGAAAACGTTGAAGATTTTTTACAGCGTCATATGGATGCAAACATAGGTCAGTCTGTTTTACCCCAAATTTTTCAGAACGTCAAAAGCAGGGAATCACCTCTTCTGAGACGTTCTTTTAGGTGTTTGTGAGCATTTTCGACACAGTTGTTTGTGTGGTTGCCCAGGCTTAATACATGTCGCCGGTAACAGCGAGCCCACATTGACTTCCTGGCAATCCAGTAATCTTTTATGTAGTCATACGCTCGTGAGAAATGCGTCCTTAGATGTTCGTACTTTCGAGTATATCTGAATATAATGCGCTATGAAAAGCGAAGTTCACATATCAGACCGTCTAGTCTTCACAAGGTGTTCCAAGCATTTGCGCACATCAGGATTTCGGAACTACAGATAATTTGTACAGCTAACACATACCTTCCTGAAAAACGCTATCAGGGCATGGAATTAACAAAGTATTATGTTAGAATGACTGTGCGTAGACTGCACAGCCGAAATTTCAGTCGCTGCCGAATCCATAACGAAAGTGCGTGTACCATAAGTACCGTACATTATATGGTTAAAACATTCCGATAGTTTTTAGACATCTTCGCGTCGTTCTTGACTGCAAAGAGCATACATAACAGTGTGCCCTTGCCCAAGACTATCAGTCACCACTAGCTGGAACAGTGGAAAACTTTCAGATAAATTTATTACTAATCGTTACCCGACTTTATTGGTCTGATAAGTCAAATCAATACATATTACCTCCAGGAACGTGAGGTAAACAGCTATTTGCTCTCTGTGGCTGAAGCAAATCATAGTCATGTTCTCATTTTCATTGAATACTTTAACTTCAGTATTTGCTTGAACGCGCTGTAAAATGTCATTGATATTTTTAGTGTCTAAACTCAATTAATTACAATGTGACATATCTCACGAAAAGGTACTTCAGAGTTGGATCATCATTGTTCTTTTTGCATTCTGACATAACGTACTTAGTATGCGTATACTAAAAAAATAATTATTAACCACAGAGGTCATATTACCTTATGTACTTCTTTCAAACAGGTCTCAAAACTGTCCCAACTTGTAAATCTTCGAGATAACATAATATCATTGGAGATTCGTCCTATATCATGCTTCATCACGATGGAATCGTCTTCGTTACTTGAAGAATGAACGTTATCAGACATAGTGTGGCTTAACTCAATTCAAATCTAAAAATGTCTTGATTTGACCGCTTCTGAAAATTTTCACGAATTGTCAATGTGACGCACCAATCATTTTGCGACCGTTTGACCTTCAAGTGCTCGCAACCCCCATCAGTGGACGATACCCTAGGAGCGTCGGTGTATACATACTCTGTCTTCCCTTAAACTAAGAGATTAAAATGAATTCATATCTTTCTTTCTACCAACTAATTCTTTCTTCCTTTACTACTATATGTTTATTGCAATCTTTCTTTTATATATTACCACTTCTGAATTAACTACTTTTATGAATCCGGTGTCCATCTTGTTGTGTTAATGAGGCATGGCATTTTGGAACGATGCATATATGTGTCTGGCTCTACGTTGAAGCTGACTGACTGAAACTAGTATTACCAGAGTAGGTCTATGGTTAGAACAAACAGTTTGTATTAACGTCCTGGAATTAATTAGTTTCCCAGTTTAGAATGATAGGATGCCTGAAGTGCTTAATATATTATGGCATAACAAGGTATGTCTTGAATGGTGTCTCATAGTTATTTACGCAAACTTCGTTCATCCGGTTAGATTAAAAGCCGAAAAGCTCTATTATGAAGCTTTTAAACTCCAACTTTTGTACAAAAGCTGGTTTCATTTGATGACAAAAATGCAGACTGAATTTCTTAGCCTAAAGTTTTGACCATAAAGTCTGTCAATTTTTTCTCTGGTGTCGGAAACGTATATATGAAAGGTTATTTGTATAGTTTAACGCTATTTATTTAGTGAATATTAGTTGCTTTTCAGCCATTAAGATTTCGTTCACAAACACAGTGTAAAAAATGTATGTTCTGAAAATTACCTCGGAGGTTTTATAGTACAATCTCGTTATTTGTTTATTATTAGTCTAGTTATTGTTCTTTGCATAGTAATTTAAATTTCACTCGTGATTTGCGTAGCCACATTTATATTCTTTAATCTTCTTTGTCTGGGCTCTTGTTTTTCGACTTCGGTTGATATCTACATTTATGATTACGTCTTGTTGTTGCATGATGACGAGTCATCCACAATAGGGACGCATATGAGAAACTCACGGTCACGGCGTGCTTCCTTCGATAATTATTGATTTTCAACTGCTTACAGGTTTTCTCGCACGATCTGATCGCTTATTAAACACAAGTTTAGTTCTACACGTACTTACATTTTTATTTCTTTCTATTAAAGGACGGCTGAAAAATATGAAAAACCGAAGAATACGATTAATCGAAAGTTTAAGTGTACTCATTGTCACAACATCGTAGATTGAGTTCAAAATCCTGACTGTTTGCGTCTTACGGACAGTAGTACCTTACTAAACGGGGAGGTCCATTGCGGATAATGAATACTCGAAATAAATAATTCTGTATTTATCGACTTCGTTGCCGGTCTTATGAATCTTGCTACAGAACTGTGGTTGCAGGCACTCGTTCAAAAATCCTTATTAGGTCTAAATTAGTTACACCGTGCTTCACATTCCTCGCATTTACTAGTCAGCTCAGATCATATAGCTCTTGGCATATTGACTATCTTCCAAATACATCATCGAACCACTTCATTCTCGCATCCTGGTCTGACTAACTTCGGTGTCCTCGATCATAACATACAAAATTGAGAGTAAATTTTTCAGATACTAAATATCTGTGACATATTAAGCGTTACGAGAGTGCTTATGATCGTCTCTCATTCGCCGAAAGTTGTAGTAGCAGTGAGGTCAGATGCCTTGTTGAATTTTTGGCGAAAGTTTTCTTCACTGGTACCAGAGGGAAGCAAATACTACTAAACTGGCCCGAAAGTGCATCTGCAGCCAAATAAAAGTCATTGTCAGCGAAAGAATCCTTCTTGTTTTAATATCTTTTCAATATCCGAACTGCGATTTCGACATTCGGTAAAATTGGTTAGAACACAGTGAACACACTGAAGTATATATTGTACTTACAGACGCTTTAACGTTGTTTTAAAGTTATTTATGTACAAAAATCATCGTTTATTCAGATTGTACAAGAAAAGATTCAAAGTTTTTTTAGATGACCTGCAATATATGAGTCACCGCTAAACTCGAGTTATAGCGTCACTGTTACTTGGAGTCAGTGGCATTGCCACTTCGAGGTTTGTATAGTTCATTCAGGGAGACTATAATTTATAGACGAACTACTCAAATACAAGGTAAATCTCGTATTTTGGCACGGACTTTATTCGTCTATCTGGCTGAATGTCATTTCGACAGTTTAGATAATGTCACTTCGTGATAAAAACTTTAAATCCAGTTCATAATCCTAACCTTCAACTGTAAATCACAATTCTAATTCCTCACCCTGCTTTATAACTGTCATGTAGTCCTAGTCAACAGGTGGACAGTCTCTGGATCACTTCAGCATCGACCAAAGATCGTCCGTAAATTGAAGTCTCGCCATTGATATTCACCACCCAGTCACATATCGTAAACTGAGACTTATTCATGCGTGTTGACTGTATATACACAGTGCAAAACAAGGATTTAAATTCCCACCACGTGGCCTGTTTTTTCAAAAAAAATATTTTTAGAGAATTTTTTATACAGATCCTTTAAGTTATTCATTACCACTGCTCTTGATATTTTTGTCCAGATCTATCTATAAAATCTCCTTGTTTGTTTGTAAAGTATTAAGTTCTCTCTTTGGATCTGATACATATTACGTTTCAAAAGTGAGCCGCAACTATAATGATAACAACACTGAGAAGCTTTTCCATCCGATATCGGGTTTAATTTGACAATTAATGACAAACTATAACGACTCAGATCATATTATAAGCATGATTGAACTTCATAGAACAAATGGTACGACCGTAAGAAAAAATCACTGTGTCCATATAATTATTGTAACAGCCAAAACGTGTGTTATGGACAATGGCAGTACCAAAATATGGGTTTCCAAATCGTCATGTAGAAAAGTTCATATATAAACAAATTCAAGTACTTTCTGTTGACATTTCTCTAGGTAATCAACTATTCGTAAAATGTGTGATGAGTATGGCGGTGCAGATGACTTTGAATCAGATGAAGAGCCTCTGGACGAGGTACCAGAAGAGGATTTAGACACAAAACCTGGTAAGTCCCACATACTTTGTCATAACGCGACCCAAGGGTATCATGATGTTTTCTCATCTTTCAAACTTCTCATCTGTTAGTGCTGATATTTAACTAGTCAGTTGGCTAGAGTTGTTTACCACTTTGTCTAATACAAATTATGATATGAATTTTTCAAATGGATTAAGTGCTGTCAATGCATGAAGCCATTAACTCCCATTGGTCGATCTCGATGGTTACAAACTTCGTAGTAATGGTTCAAGTTCTTAGTTTACGCGCAATAACGGTTGCAATATTCAATATTACTTTAATTCTTGAACGAAGTGTCGTTCCTAACCTATTATTCCTCGATGCTGTTTGTTCGTCTTAGACTACCGGAGTTCTATATTTTCGTCATTATTAATTTCGATTTCTCTTCCCTGATGGCCGGCTTACTTACCTTTCTTGCTTCGTTAATGTGAGGTGCTGTAGATTCGACATTAAACCCTGTCTTCAATATTGTTGCCTCTTTCTTGTGATTAGAAACAATCCACGGAAATTCCATGGACTATACAGGTGATGTAGCTCACTTATTCAAAGATTTACATGTCTGACAATACCTATCTTACTCAACCTATCATTAAGCTTTGCACAATCCTAATCAGCTAAGTCTGTAATAAAACAGGTGTTCATAACTCGAAAATGTCTAAATCATACGTCCGTCACTTCAACCAGGTTGGTGAACACGGAGGGTCCACCTAGGTAAGTTGGAAAACTCTGATTCCAAACCAATCGAGCACATGGGCTCCAGAGACAAATGGAGTATGAACCTATTATTGGTGACCGGCTAACATGGGACTGCACATCTTACGTTGCTTCACTGTCTTGTGGATCAGACTTTTAAGTCAAAGGCTCGAGGTGTGGCCCCCTAAGTAAACCACCTGATTCGGTTTCGGCACCCAGGCAGTATCGCAGCTGTCAAACAAACTAAGTAATCTATTTGGTGCCTCATTGTGTGTGTTTAAGTAAATATATGAACATCGGTAGGTCTTTCTGAGTTTACCAGTATTGTGGAAAAACGGTTTCTCCGCAACCGTGATTACTTTTTAATGTGTAACGGGCCTGCACCTCACATCTACATAGCGTAATTACTTCCTACACAATGTACTCTTGGTTATTAGACCCTTTGTTTAGTAGTACAGTTTATGTGATATCTTCAAACTAGTTTGGACAGATTGAGTACACACTAAAATTAGTCGTATAATATACATTTCTAGAGATTTTACAGAGGCCAGTCACTAAGCGTTTGCATATTATTTTATAGAAGGTGTCACGTACATAACAGCTGATGAGGCGCCGCGCTTATCAGGTCAAAATATGGCTGCCCCAGTAGAAAAAAGTAAACGGATTACTACTCCATATCTTACGAAATATGAGCGTGCTAGAGTTTTAGGTGCACGAGCTCTGCAACTATCAATGTCTGCTCCCGTTATGGTCGAACTGGATGGTGAACGAGATCCTCTAAAAATTGCTGAAAAGGAATTAAGGGCTAACAAGATACCTATCATTATTCGACGTTTCCTTCCTGATGGGAGTTTTGAAGACTGGAGTTTGGATGAACTTATTTTGACAGAATAAATTCATATTTTTTGTTTTATGCGTGACTTGGATTGTTCGGTACCGCTGATAATCATGTCTTTCGTCAGCAATATTATCAGCTTTCTCTAAAAGGGAACTTGGTTTATTTTCATGGTCAGTCATAATCAACGTACACATGGACGCTAACGTAATTTAGTTCAAGTTGTTACAACACATTAGCACGGTCAAATAAAATTAACTAGCTGTGTAGTAAATGAGACAAAATAATGCTTAGCAGTGATACGGAGAAAGGCTGAAAGCCTTAACACAACTATAGTAGTCTATGGAAATGGCGTGTACAGTCCCGTAGCTCAGACTATTGCACTCTATAACTTACGTTGTGGAGTTGTTCACTGATTCTAGGGGAGTTTTTAATGAGGAAGTTCAGTGGGAACAATTAAAACACTTAACTAAGTATGTAATTTAAAGTCAAGTACATAAAGGTGTCCCTACGTACTCAGTTGTACTGAACGTATTCGCACGTGCACCTGTTGCTTATCAAGTCAGTCATCTTCAGCGTACGACCAGGCACATATGCATTGGTCCAACTTGCGACACCTCACTAGCACAACGCGATGAACACCAAATTCATAGAAGTACTTACTTCAATGATAGTTATGTATTTAAAGAAAGATCGCGTATAAGGATATAATACAGGAAGAAGGAATTAGTTCATAGAAAGAAAGGTATAAAGCAATTTTAATCACATAGTTTAAGGGAAGACAAAGAGTGATCGATTCTGAGCAGTGTCAACCAGAGTCTCCAACCACTGGTTACAATGGTTGCGCGGACCCAGACCAAGTAGTCTTCAATTCCTATTGTCCAAAAAAAACACGAGTGTTTCGTGTTCACATCAGAAACCAGAAATGGTCCTAGAACTTTCAGTGTCGTATGCAAACGCTAAAACTGTAGACCATCGGTCAGTTCATAATTTCAATGAAACATATTGGCCCAAGAACGAATCTATTTGTGAACTATAAAACAACAACTACAGAAACCTGCGTGACAAACAAACTTCGGAAAGCGTAATGACTACAACTCATGGGTCTAAATAACTTTTACATAAGTGGAAAGATGCGGATTCACACAACAAGGTCCTTATTTTATAATTCTTACTGGAGTAAGTACATTACTGTAAAAAGTATAAATCGTTTGAAATCATAAAAGGTTCATTCATCTATAAATTCACATAAATTGAATTTTTCGATGTTGTACTCTAATTTGGAAATCTGATGTATTATAAACAGCAGCACTTTGAAAGCATTAACATCTGCTGTACCGTGCTAAGAAAATAAATTGACACTTACAAATAGCTCGGAAGTTCACGTTTATAACAGCTTTAAAAGTAAAAATGCATAAGATCAAGCATTTGTTTTCATACTATACATCTAGTTTTCATTGAGTTAAAGACTACATAGACTTCAAAGAATGGTCACGGAAGGCCATACAAGTGATTGCTCTCTGATGTCCTTTGTATTCAACGGGTACTTCACCTGTCTCCAAATTCCATAAGCGAGCAACTCCATCGGAAGTCGCAGTGAGCAAAAAGCGAGAGTCTGCCGAAAATGCGCAATCCCAAACCCAGTGATGACCTGATGGACTACCTTGTCGCGTTGTAACTAAACTAAAATCAGCTGTCTTTAAAAGATTAAATTTCCCATCACCTCCCCCAGTAGCTATCAATGTACTATCTGGCGAAAATTGCACTTTCAGAACATAAGTTGGATGTACTTTCTGCCGATGCTGTTAGAAAAAAAATTAGCGTAAAGTTTTAGTAAACATAACAAGAAAAAGTATTGTATCGTAGTCTAATGCCTATAGATGTATATTCTCGATGTTAGCTAGAAATTAAATACCACATAAGGTCTTAAACCAAGAAATATCGCCAAAGTTCTTTCTCAAAAATAAAAGAACTTTGGTAGTATAATAAAATCTATCTAAACGCTTCTAATATTTCAGGGGATAGCAACAAGAGTTCATACATTATCAGAACAAGCTAGTTACCCTCGTTTATAATACTATTCCAAACAGTATTATTAACCAAATACGTTTTTGCCTCCATTTCCACTTCTAGCGTCGACATGCGACAGAGAGATAGCGGGATCATAATACAGATATGTTGAGGCAACTGAAACCGGCATCCTAAGATTGTTGCCAATCGAATTGCCACCAACCAAATTGTGTTTCTATCGAAATAATCCTTTGGATATACTGACGGTTAAACACAAAGTTGGCGAACAGATATAGGAGCAGGATCGCTTTTGGTGATGCTGCCTTAAACCCGATGTACTACAGATAGACTGACATCATGTAAGTAACTTAAGCTACTCGAGTAATTATGATGCGTAGAATGATTTCATCTGCTATGCCACCATCAGCAATTACATGCAATGAGTGCAGAAACCATTTTCAGTATTTTTCGAAATTGCTTCGCATTTTGGAATTATTTATTCACATGAATTGTTAACCGATTATATGTGATTTGAACTAGGCTATGTATATAATGATAGTGTCATACCCAAACTGGAGATAGAAAAGCTCATCATCATTTTATTATAAGGCTGCGATCGACAAAAAATTCTAGGGTGAGAATTGATAATTCATTTTAACCTTACTGCCGACTTGAAACAATAAACAGGTGGTTGTATGTCATAACTTTCCTTAAGATATTTTACTAAAAAGCGCAAAGTATGTTAACAAAAATTTCTGACCAATCTTTCTACAACAGATGATCTCAGAGCATAATCCTATTTAACGAATCAAAGGAGGCCGATATAAAGAATCTTAGTAACTATTACATTATAATAAGTGTCCCTAAGAATTCGGTGAAAAGTGAAAACATGATCAATACAATCTAAACTAAGACCGGTGTGCTGCTCGAGAGTTTGTATTTCATGAGTTTCGCACAACCTATTGAATATGATGATAGCCAATATTTTAAAGGGACTTGAAAGTACACTTGTACTCCAGTTATTGTCGGACACTTTAATGTAACCCATTTTTAAAGATGGATATGGGAATCGCCTTGGTCCTAGGATAAATGGACACTGGTATCGGAAGATGACGAATAATTCGGCCCGTTATTTTGACTAGAAGTTCGCTTTGGTCGTTAAGTATTTATTTCCGTTTCCCGAAATTCCTCACAATCGCTGGATAGACATGACCCAATCATTTATCAATGAAACGTAGGACTACGACTTCTTTTAGCCTTTCTTAAATATTAGATTTGAACCCAGGGACTGAAATTTAACGTTTTATCCAGTGATTGTTGCCTCCACTTCTTCAAGGTAGTAAATAAAATTAATTGATTTAGATTTCAGTCGCGACAGTTATTTCAAATATAATTTCGACGAATGATTTATCCTATTTCTGTCAAACCATTCGTTCAAATATTGACGAACGTTCATATAGTTATTTGGTTTGCGTTGTTATAAAATATCAGTCATGGATATAGCTACTTCGTTATCATCACAATACAATGTATAGGAATTAACATATCGAACATAAGCGACTTAATTTTTAGGTTTTTTAAAAAAAGATTTCCGATTTTTTGTCTTCTAAGATCAGCACTTGAAGATTCTTTTTTGACTGAACCAGTCAGTGACAACGTATAACCTTGTGCGTATGCACCTCGGTTCAAGTTGCCATACCCCGTCAGCACAGAAAAATGAAATTGTCAAGCCAAATCCCAGAATAGTACAGGTAGTAGCAGTTTCAGTGTTGTTAGGAAAGATGAGGCATCGAAGATACGATTCGAGTAAATACAAACTAGCAAAACAAAAAACAGTTGAGTTTAGAATCTTGGAATTTGGAGGAAGACGGATGCATCTGCGCCATGGCAAACGATTTTGAACCACGCTATTCAAAGTCCCGAACCATCGGTTAAGAGCCCCAACCACGTATTAACATGGCACAGTTCAGTTATCAGTGTCCTCATGGTTTGGCCACCCCTAACTTTCTTCCAGCCTGCTCCTACACCAGAAAACATCGTCCATCGAGGTAGGCGAGCAACGACAATGACAGTTCACCATATGCTCTGACTCGGTCAATAGTGTTTACATAGAAAGCCTGTACAAGGTTGACGTGCTTCTTTGGTACTCCTTTCGATGACAGACTTCCGTAGAACCTCACCGTCAACGGCGTCGAATGCCGCCTTAAGGTCAAGGCATACAACCATAGTTGGATAGTACCCCAGACCCTACCTCTCTTCCTCACTTTAGGCTACGTATAGCCTTTTCAACCTTATTCAGAGTTGAAGGACATACATCAATTTGCCATTCAAGCTGTTTGGAGGTAGTGGGTAACTGAATTGCGATTGAGGGCCAGTTGAACTCTTCCATAAAGTTTTTTGCCCACCAGTTCAACCTCCTGGACTAAGTGTGAATAATAATCACATCTTTTTACGAGACAGTTTCACTAACAGCCGGATTCGTAATACGCGTTTCCTTTATAAGTCTGAAAAGTTGTCCACTGTTACTTATCGCTGTCGTCCTTTCCATGTACTCACCACTGCCTACATTTAAGGTGCCTCCCCTCCTCACCATATTCGGAGCCCACAAACGCCCTGGTACGGTCGAAGTTGCGGAGAGCCCACCCTCCCTCTCAAAATTCTCTGATACGGGCACACGTATACAGCCACTACCAGGGAAGTCCTGCTCATCGCCTTCTTGCGGCGGGGTTGTTGTTCGCAACATTGAGAGGACTAAAAGAGAATGTCCGGCGCTTTAACCAGATTGGTGAACGCGGAGGGTCCACCTAGGTGAGTTGGAAAACTCTGATTCCAAACCAATCGAGCACATGGGCTCTAGTATCCATAAGGAACAAGTGGAGAATGAACCTACGGTTAGTGACCGGCTACCATGGGACTTTCAAGTCAAAGGCTCATGGTGTGGCCCCCTAAGGAAACCACCTGCTTGGGTCTCTTCACCCGAGCAGTATTACAACACACACAAATCGGATGATTTACGTGGCCCATATCTATTTGGTACAATATTATGTGTTCAAATAAAATAAATACG